ACGCTCCATGGCTTACTAAGAACTCTGGTTGCCAACTTGACACACCAAGAAAGAGGGATTCTCATTTGTGGAACTACCTCAATCAGACTGGCCTTTGAGCATGTCTGTGGGGCATTTTCTTTTCTCTTCCCTTTTTATTTTCTGGGATTATAATATAATTACATATTTTCTGTGGGTTGTTTTTTTTATTTCTAATTATGCCTGGGATTTATCAAAAAGTTAGGTGACTGATTCTAAAAGAAAGCTGGTAAGCAATGTTCCTCCATGGTTTCTGCCTCAAGTTCCTGCCTTGGCTTCTGTGGATAATGACTGTAATCTATAAGCCAAATAGATTCCTCAGTTGGTTTTGGTCAGTGTTTCATCATAGTCACAGAAAGCACACTAAGACATCTTGGTATTGCTTTCTGGTTTTTATCACATTGTTTCCATAGAGTTAAGCATGAAATGATTTCAATTCTTAATATTTGTGTAACTCGTCTGTGACTTAGAATATGTGCTGCTTTGGAGAATGTTACATGCATTGAAGAGAAAAATGTATACTGAAAGCTGTGATAATTTGCTATGTCAACTTAGCACAACCTAGAATCACTTTAGAGGAGAGTCTCAATGAGCTATTATGTTAATAAGTTATTTCAACTGAACACAAACAAGCAGACATCCAGTAACTTCTCCACAATGATGAATTACAAACTGAAAGATGGATGTTTCAGCTTACAATTCTTTCTGCCTGCTAGTCCTGCCTATCCTTTCTCCTGCCTAGCTATTGGTCATTCAGCTCTTTATTGGACCAATCAGGTACCTTCTGGCGGAAGGCTCTGTAGATATCTATTAGGTACAATTGGTCTGGGTTGAAATTTAACTGTTGCTGCCTTGTTGATATTTTATTGACGCTTCATTGCTGAAAATGGGATGATAAAGTTTGCAACTATTAGTGAATCAAAATCTAATTCTTTAACTCTGTTAATATTTACTTTCTATGTTTGCTGTGATATCTAGTGCTTATTTAATTAGGAGTATTTCTCCTGATGACTGATCACATTATTATTTTGTAATGACATTCCTCCTATCTTTGATCCACTTTTGCTTAAAGGCCATTTTAATATGATATGTGTGAGACTTCTGCTCATATTTTCTAATTGCCATTTATAGAGAACATCTTATTCTAATCCTTAGTTTCTATCACAATGAAAATTCTCCTCATCTTACAGGTAGAATAGTTTTATTGCAAGCAACACACAGGTCTGTTAGTTCCAATTCATTCACTCACTCGGTATCTTTTAATTGAAGAATTATTTTATATTAAAAGTAATTAACAAAAAGCTGCAATTTACTATTGATATATTGTATAGTTTCTTTTATATTGGTTGTAGGTTTTTTCTTTCCATGTATTACATTCTTCCTATGCAATTAAATGACTTATTTTAGTATGTTTATTTCATTACTTGCTCACTATGTTTAGTTTGTCTACTCTACATTTTTGCTTCTAGTTAAGGTGAAGCTGACCAAAATATCTTTTGATTATAATAAGTGGCATTAACTATAGCAACATAATACAACTATAAAGAGAAGAAAGGACACAACTAAAAGAAACATACTTGTTGTAGAATATTATTTTAACCTGATAAAGATATGTTATATTTGTTTAAGCTACAGAATATTGCTTTAACTGTGTAAAGGTGTGTTACTTTTGTTTATGCTGCATTTGCTTAACAACGTAATGATGTGTGCTTAATTATGTAAAGATATCTTGCATCTGTTTCACATTGCCTGCCTAAGGCACCTGATTGGTCCAATAAAGAGCTGAATGACCAATAGCTAGGCAGGAGAAAGGATAGGCAGGACTAGCAGGCAGAGAGAATAAATAGGAGAAATCCAGTTTTAAGAAGAAGAGGAGAAGGAACTAGAGAAGCAGGAGGAGGAGAGAAGGAGGGAGATGCGTGGGGCCAGAAGCCAGGCGGTCATCAGCCAGCCAGACATAGAGAAGCAGTGAAGGTAAGATATGCAGAAGGAAGAAAGGTAATAAGCCCAGAAGCAAAGAGTGGATAAAGAGCAGCAGGTTAACTTAAGTTAGTCAGAAACGTGCCTAAACTAGGCCAAGCATTCAAAACTAGTAAGTCTCTATATCATGATTTAGGAGTTGGTTGGTATCCTAAAAGAAAAGCTTGGTACACATACTGGTAGGAAAACACTGTACTTTCAATCCTTCCTTCCAACAGTTTGGTTATTATTTTAATTGGCTTGTATTTTATTTACATACTAAAGATATAAATGGTTGATTCATTACACTTACAATATTAGAACATTCTGAATGTGATTATACAATTATTCTTAGAAACAAGTTTTATAGTTTCGCTAACCCATTAATACATTTTGTTGGAAGCACGCTCTATAACATTTCTTGTAGAACAGGTCTGATAGATATATAGTCTCTTAGCTTTTCTCTGTATAGGAATTTATTATCTTTTCTTCATTTCTAAAGGACAGATTAGCTGAGTACAAAATTCTCATTGGTTAGCTCTTTTCCTTCAGTTATGTGAGAAGTCAAAGCTTATAAAGCTATTGCTGAAAGCCTAATATCAGGTTAAAGGTAGCATTGTGTATTGTTCTTGTAGTCTCTCGAGTCTTTAGTTTTGGGCTTAATTATGAGTTGATGTAGACTTAGGAGGGTTAATTTTGACTGAGTACTCTGACTGGCCCCCGCATCTTGATATTGGTAACTTTTCCAGGTTTGGGAGTTTTTTCATTCATTTTTATGTAGTACTTTTATGCCGTCAGCATTCTTCAAGTCTTTACTGTTCCCCAGTAGTCAAAACATTTGCACTTTCAATAATATCCCAGATTTACTATAAGTATTCTTCATTTCTCTTTATTATTTTTACTTTCTTTTCTCCCCCATCTGTGTATTTTCAAGCAGGCTGCCTCTCGAGCTTGCTAATTCTTTTTGTTTGTCTTGATATTAATGTCTTGTCATGCATTCTTAATTTGGTGACCACAATTTTCAGCCTTAGTATTTTTATAAGACTTAAAAAAAATTATTTCAACTTTTGCTAAAATTTCTCTCTGGTGGTAAAATGCCTGTTTTACCTCATCAAGCTACCAAAAGAACTCTTTTATGTTACCTGAGAGTTCTCCCATGCTGATGACTATCTGGTCAACTTCTGACTACTTATTTTGCCTATTAGGTAAGGTAAGGGCTTCCTTAAAACTTTCGCTACTTGATGTGGCATGACCTGGGCATTGGATAACTGGTGAAAGAAATACGTGTGTGTGTGTGTGTGTGTGTGTGTGTGTGTGTGTGTGTATTCGATAGATAAAAATATATAGGTGTTCCTGGCATATCTTTTTTAAATGTCTATCTGTCTAAATAACTTGCTGAGTATTTTTTTCTTAACCTATGGTTATATCCCCTAAAGTTTTATATCCATTATTTCAACATTGGATGGTACCCAGGTATAAATTTTTAGCAGCCTGCTCTTGGTATATTTTCACTATTTGAGTGCTAGGGAGAATTTTAAGACCAGACTTGCCTCAAACATATTAGTCAGTGTCTTGCTTTAAAAGAGTTATCTGTACTACATGCTTCTCCTTGGAGCCAGAGATAGTTCTAGATGCCTCATCCACAGTTGCTGACTCGTCTGTGGTTACACATTAGAAATCTTCCTGTCTGTGGGCAGAATTACATTAGAAGATTTGATCCCACGATCTGATGATTCTATTTGTGAAAAGGTGTGTCATGATCTGGGCCCACAGTCTGCTAAGAGCAACACCATTCTGGGGTAGAACTCAAGACCCACACTTCCCTAAAGCAGGATCTTTCTTCCAAACTTTTGGGCCAACCACAGCTGATATATAAGTTCCAGTAGCAGGACTGTATATATTCCCTGAGCACAAATCCTTTTCCTTTATCTGTATCCATATTCAGGTCTGAGAATAGGGGCCATTAAGACCTGTCTTGTATAGGTTTCAATACCTCTAGGGCTCACTGTCTGATTCTACCAAGTAGAACTGCAAGGTGTTCTTGGTGAAACTATCTGTGGCCACCTAATCAGACACAAAGATGGACCTCTCCTGAATCTCACAGTTGCAGTGACTATACAGAATTGTATCCTGGAGGTACCTATGTTTATGTCTGATGCTGGGACCACTTGAGAGTTACCTTTGTAAGCTCTGGCCTGTAGTAAGAGTTCTTTGGTTTCTGTCAGTTTTTCTCATTATTACAGGCCTGACACTGAGCTCTGTTGACAAAGGGTTCTGTGGTGGCCATCACGCCCTGCTCCACACTAAGGGCAACTTTGCCCTTAGCTCTACATTCTGAGCTTAAGGACAATGTAATCTAAGCAATTTTGTGACTTGCTTGGCAGTTCAAAGCAGTTCTACAGACAAGTGTTGTTCCAGTAGGTTTCTCAGCATTGGGTTTATCCTGAGCAGGGCAGGGAGTGAGTTTGTTTCATGTCATGGGTACTTACCTTTCTCATGACTGTGGCCAAACACCTGACAAGGAGCCACTTAGAGAGTGAAAGGTTCATTTTCCCTTACACTTGGAGGGATGTAGTCCCTCACTGTGAGGAAGTCAAATAGCAGTCATATAAGGTGGCTGGTCACATTGCATCCACAGTGGAGAAGTAGAAAGCAGTGAAGGCTGATGCTCAACTAGTTTTCTTTTTCCTGCAGCCTCGAACCCCACTCCATGAAATGGTGCCACTCACCATCACAGTGGGTCTTCCCAACTCAGTGAACCTAGAAAATTCATCACAAATCTGACTAGAGAGTGATTCTAGAGCCTGTCACGTTTACATTCAATATAACCAAATCACAATATCTAAGTCCTGAGCTTTGTCTCCTCCAATACAAGAGACATTTCTGTTCATGCTGAGATGGTTGGGTTTGGAGGAGATGTAACATGGGAAACTCTTTATTGCCTCCTTTAACTGGCCTTTCATTCTGCTGATGGAAGGCAGGCAGAATGGACAGATCCCTCACTTGGTTTCATTTCTTCCTAGGAAAGTAATTTTGGTGTTCAACATGTGGAGAACCGCAGGAGGACCCAACTTAGTAGTCATCTTGCCTAACCTGTTTCATGGTAAGTTGTTTTGAAGTTTTTCACTGAAGGTATATAAATGTTTCTGCCTAGTTTCTTTCTCATCATTATTAATCATTTGTCAGATGTTGGCTGTCTGTACTTGAAGAGGGTTGTTTTTTGATTTTTTATTTATTTATTTATTTTTTTGCACAAAGGATTCAACTATGAAGGTATGAAATGGACAGAGAATAGTCTTTCTTAAATCTGTTGGCTGTGTTATATACAGTGCATCTTCATACATACTGCGTAGAACCTTCTAAAGCTGAAGACCAATTGCAAGAGGCTTTTTCTACATCAGTGGTTCTCAATTTGTGGGTCACAACCCTTTGGGGGTGAAGTAACCCTTTCACAGGGGTTCTATATCAGATATGCTGCATGTCAGATATTTATATTACAATTCATAACCGTAGCAGAATTACAGTTATGAAGTAGCAATGAGAATACTTTTGTGGCTGAGGTCACCATAACATGAAGGTATCAAAGAGCCACAGCATTAGGAAGGTTGCGAACCACTGCAAATGGTTTGCAGGTCCCTAGCTTGCTTTTCTAAACTTGGTTTCTATGTCTCATGTCAACTTGATGATAGAACAAAGATAGTTAGCTTGGCTCAAGTTTCTCTTCAGTAAGTTCTCCATGTTTACAGTTCATTTATTTTTAAAATTAAAAAAAAATTATCCCAGGTAAAGCTTTAAGGTTGAAAAATAGAATGCAGAGAATTGACCATGTTATGAAAGGTATTGCATATCAGGTCAAATTTGAGACAAATAATATAGATAATGGAGAGACATTAAATTTTGGAGCACAAAAATGTGATAAAAATTTGAAGTAGGGAGATCATTTTAAGAGTGCCTGGAAGAAAAATCATAAATTGTGACCTAGGAGAAAATCAATAGAAATATATCTCTGCTTTTTTTCCCTATTGTTGACAGGTTAGAGCAAGTAAAATATACATTTCTTTCTTTCTTGTAGTATAAGTGTTTTCTGCTATTTAACAAAAGTAAATGTGTGTGTGTGATGTTTTAAAGTACACATTTAATACCACTAAAGAAAAATAACAAATTACAAAAATAAAATTAAATACAATTATCATCATGTAAATACAAACTATCAGCAGTTTCAATACTGTAGCTTCTCAAAGAATTTTAGAGTTAAAATAATGACTTAAAAATTATGTTTATATTAATGCTTTGATTAAGTTATGTAAAGTAAGCACAGCCTATGCCTTTGCTGATAGTGATGGACAAGAAGAAAGTTATAGAGTATGAATGGAAACAATAAAACTAATCAAGATAATGAAGCATTAGCTCTACAGCTTTTATAATTGTTATATAAGCAATTCCTGGTTACCATGGTGAATTCAAACACATAGAGAAAGCCGGCTATGAATCACTATTCCAGACGTTCAGTTTTAACTCTGTCAGCTTGGTTTAAGGACCAGCTTCTGCATTACACAGACAATTAACAGCTACCGCAAAGTAGCCAAGTGTCTTGAACACTCCCATTGTTATGTGGCAGCAGCAAATGCTTTGATGCTGTCATCCAAATACCACCATTCATCACGAGATTTGATCATGTAAATACAAGTTGAAGTCATAAAGAATTAGCTGATTGCTTTTAATGGTGTTTTACATGTAGCTTTACAAAAATGAGTATGATTCTAGTTATTAAAATTAGACATTTTTCTTAACCTAATGTATTACTAACATTGAATAACAGCAGTGATTCTTTTCATGGACAGATCAATACAAAAAACATATTAATTATCAATTACATAATTTTTTTGATTAGCATTGCTTAAAGGTGATAATGTGAATATGATCCAGAAGTCTCTCTGGACCGTGTGTGTAGTGAGTCTGTGTGTGTATATCTATGGCCGTTAGATTGAAAGAACAAGGAAGTTGGGGTTGATGTTGGCTAATATCAGCATGTAAACACTTTGAACTCGGGGCATTTTGTTTGTATTGATCACCAAAATAATCATAGTGAGGCTAACTGATTATATTTGTCTAAGTAGATTCATAGAAGTTATTTATTGACATCTTATCAAAGAAATATGTTTCTGGAATAAACAATGGTACTGTTTCCTTGGGGAGTTTGAATTTAATCTCTAAATATACTTTGAAAATGAGAATCCCATTTGTTTTGTTTATTTGACAAAATAATTTGTGTATATTACGGAGCATTACACGATAATTTAATATATGTGTGCAATGTATAATGACCAAATTAAGGTAATTACCATTTCTCTCTCCTTGCCATTTCTTTGTTTGGAGTCTTAGAACCTTGCCATCTAGTTTGCCATAATAAGTAACATAAATAGTCTATTACAAATATAGATAATAAATACTGTGACTGTAGATAGTGTATCACAAATATAGATAATAAATAGTATGACATAAATATGTGAGTGGTGTGCTATAAATTTTGGTTATCCTACTGTGCTGTGAACATTAGAGTTTACCCTCACCCTTAACTGTATTTTAGTACTTACTCTCCAAACCCTCTACCTTCTCTCCTCACTACCTTCCCTACCTTCTAGAAACCACTATTAGCCTCTTCTTCGAGGTCAATTGTTTTAATTTCTACACACATGAATAAAACAGGCTTGATGACTGAATGATGCTTCAGTATGTATATCTAATTTTCCCTAGCCATCTGTACTGAGCTACTTTGGGTGATTCAAGTGATGGCCTCTTTCTGATAAGCTGCTATCCTTTTTTTTTGGATGTCTACCTAGCAGTGAGTCATACGATAGAACTACATGTATTTTATTTCTTTTGGCAATGTATATATTTTTTTTACAGACTGACTTTACTAATTTACATCCCCACCAACAATGTTAAATGTTCCTTTTACTTCACATGCTTACTATCAGTTTTTGTGTTCATGTTGTTTGATCAGTTGATGGGTTTTATTTTGGTTTTTTTTTCTAAATAGACATTCTAATGGGACTCAGAAGATAGAACATCATGGTCATACTTGCATTTTCTTCATCATGAGTGATTTTGAGTATTTTTATAAACTTGAGGCTATAATGTTTGTTCTCTCAAGCAGTGTCTATTCATAGAAAATGTGTATTTTAAATATTTGTTTTATACTGATGAGTTTTTAAGTGCTCTTGATATATGGCACTTCTTCTCCAACACAATGATTGCAAACAGGCATCACATTCAATGGCCTACTAGGTCATCTCTTCAGTGTGATTTTCCATTGCCAGGCAGTCGTCTTAGTTTGATAAAATCCCACTTGTCTATTTTGCATTAATTGCTTATGTTTTCACAGACAATCAAAAACTTACTGCTCTCAATCCAAAATATCTTTCATTGTTTCCCCTGTGTTTTCTTGTGTTTTAATGTATTCGAAAGTTATACTTGGGTCTCTAACACATTTTTGGTATGATTTTTATACAATGAGAGATAGTATCTAGTTCAATTCTTCTGTTTATCCGTACCTTGTTTCCTAGCACCATTTATTGACGATGTTGTCCTTCCTCAAATGTGAGCTGTTGATGCCTTCTGTTGGTATTTTCTGGGAAATAGCCTAGCTGCTTAATTTGACAGATAAATATCACTTGATTAGATATGCTGTCAAAAGCATAATTTACAAAAATTATCAAGTGATATTTATATTCCCACATTTCATTAGTCATTAAAATCCATAGTTTTTCATGCTGGAGATGCTCAGTGGTTATGAGCATGTCCTGGTCTTGCAAGGGACCTGAGTTCTAGTCTCAACAGCCACAGTGAACAGCTCACAACTGCTCTACACCTCCAGCTTTTGGGAACTTAGCACCCTTTCTAGATTCAGCTGGTATTCACACTCACACTTGAGTTCCCACAGATGGACACAGACCACAAAATAACTTTAAAATAAAGAGTAAGAATCAATAATTTACCTACTTCTCAGTCTAGGCACTTACAACTTGTTCTGCTTAAAAAATTTGTTTCATATAAAGTATTTATGAATAATGAAGACTCTATATATTCTTAAAGGAAGATGTATAAATTGTAGTCAAGATTTTAGTGTTTATAGAAGGCAAATCTACCTTCAGAATGTCTTGTAAAGACAAAATTTCTATTTTTGTTATAACTTTTGACATATCATTATTTTACATAGTACTTGGTTTTATAAAGATGTCTTCAGACAAGCATGTAATATACTTGGGTCCAGTCCCCTACCCTTCCCCTCCTGCTTTCCCTCTTCTCCTTTCTGCTAGTCTCTTTCATTCTTCCAGATAGTTCTACTTCTTCTAGTGTCTACAAATACTAGAAAACATGCACCATTTGATTTTCTTGAATTTTGTTTTAGATTTATTTTATGTGTAGGTGTATATGTAAGCCACGTGTGTTGTGTGATCATGGAGACCAGAAGATGATGTTGTCTATTCTGGAACTGGAATTACAGGCACTTGTGAGTTGCCCATCATGAGTGCTAGACACTGAGCTCAGCTTTCCTGGAAAAGAACCAAAACGCTCTTAAAGGTGTAGCCATTTCTCAAGCTTTAATATTTGAATTTCTGAGTCACATTTATTCATTTAATAGGACTTTTTCCTGTTGCATCCATTTTTTTTTTTTTTTACAAATGGCATAATTTTGTTCTTTTTAACCGAATAAAACACCCTTGTGCACATATACCACATTTTCTTTACTCATTGTTCTGATGATGGACACCTAGGTTGATTGCAGAATTTGGCTATCAATAGTGCTGTGATAAACATAAATGTGTAAGTATCTCAATGGTATGCTGATTTAGAGTCCTTGAATATGTAACTGGAAATCATAAATAGCTGGGCCATATGTCAGCTAAGGATTGGAGATCTTGGCCCATCCCTCATCTGCCATGTTGGTGGCACTGGCAAGAGAGAGAGGTGCCCTCCCACAAGGCCTGTAGAAGGTGGAAGAGCTGGCCCTGAGATGAGATCAGGAGAGCTGTCTCTGACCCTCACTAGCAGCAGTGCTCAGAAGAGTGGCCCCTGCACCTCTCCTTGGCAACAGAGTAA